TCTGGGTGACAGAGTGAGACTCCAACTCAAAAAAAAAAAACAAAAAAAAAATGTGGAAGACACAATTTAGGAATATATAGCAATCTTAACAAAGTCTGTGGAAGTCAGTAAAGTGAGGAAGTGAGGCTTGAACTGAAATTTTTTTTTTTAATCGGAGTCTCACACTGGCGCCTAAACTCGAGTGCCGTAGCACGCTCACAGCCACTGCAGCCTTGAACTGCTGAGCTAAGTCAATCCTTCCGCCTCAGCCTTCCAAGTAGCTTAAACTATAGGTGTGTGCCACCCCCAGCTAATTTTTCTTGATTTATTGTAGAGATGAGGTCTCACCAAGTTGTCCAGGCTGGTCTCGAATCCATGAGCTTAAGTAATCCTCTCACCTTGACATCCCAAAGTGCTGGGATTATAGGTGTGAGCCATTGCATCCAGCCAAAATATGAAATATTAGGTAGTCATAGTTGGTGGTGGGAATATGAGGGATGGGATGGAGGACATCCTAGGCAAAAAAAAAAACCCCACGTCTTTTTTTTTTTTTTTTTAAGTTGGAGTCCCACTGTCGCCCAGACTGGAGCACAGTGGCTTGCTCATGGCCACCACAGCCTTGACCTGTTGGGCTCAGACAATCCTTCCACCTCAGCCTTCCAAGTAGCTGGGAGCCTTCCTCCTTAGCTTCCTGATAGCTGGAACTACAGAAGCAAGCTGCTATAACAGGCTATTTTTGAACATTTTTTGTAGAGACGAGATCGCACTATGTTGCTTAGGCTGGTCTCAAACTCCTGGTCTTAAAAGATCCTCCCGCCTTAGCCTTCTGAAGTGCTGGGATTCCAGGCAATATCCACCATGCCTGGCCACTTAAACTTTTTTCTCTTTTTTTTTTATTGAGTTGGAGTCTCACTCTGTTGCCCAGACTGGAGTGCAGTGGCCGCTCCCGGTCACCACAGCCTCGACCTGCTGGGCTCTGGCAGCCTCAGCCTTCCAAGTAGCTGGAACTACAGGCGTGCGCTACCACACCCGGCTAAGTTTTTTTAAATTTATTGTACAGATGATGTCTCACCAAGTTGCCCAGGGGGTCTCGAATCCGCGGGCTCAGGCAATCCACTCACTTCAGACTCCCAAGGCGCAGGATTACTGGCTGAGCCACTGAGTTCGGCAACTTTTTTCTTTTTGAGTTGGATTCTCACTCTGCTGGTCCAGGTCAGAGGGATCAGGCTATCCTTCTGCCTCAGCCTTCCAAGTAGTTGGAACTACAGGCACACACCATCATGCCCAGCTACTTTTTTGATCTGTTGTAGAGATGAGGTATTGCCAAGTTGCCCAGGCTGGTCTTGAATCCACGGTCTCAGGCATTCCTCTTGCCTTGGCCTCCTGAAGTGCTGAAATTACAGGCATGAGCAACCATGCCCAGCTTTATTTGGTGTAAATTTTATCCAAGAGAATCTGCTCATGTAAGTGGATCCTACAGCCCAAATCTATGTTCTTCAAGGGTCAACTATAATGTCTTTTGTCTACTAACATTTTATAAATTACTGAAATACTTTTATTGGACAGTGCTGCCTTAGGTGAGGTAGGGACCTTTTTTTTTTTTTTTTTGTCTCACTCTGTCACCCAGGCTGGAGTGCAAGTGGCATGTTCATGGTCACCGCATCCTCTACCTGCTGGGTTTAGGTAATCCTTCCACCTCAGCCTTCCAAGTAGCTGAAACCCCAGGTTTTGTACCACCATGCCTGGCTGATTTTTTGATTTATTGTAGAGATGGAGTCTCACCATGTTACTCTGGCTGGTCTTGAACCTGAGCGCAAGTAATCCTCTCACCTTTGCCTCCGAAAGTGCTGGGATTACAGGCATGAGTCACCATGCCTGGCTCTTATTTTGAGCTGAGGCCTTACTCTGTCACCCAGGCTGGAGTACAGTGGCAGTCACGACTCATGGCAGCCTGGACCTCCTGGGGTCAAGTCATCCTCCTAGCCCAGACTCCCAAGTAGCTGGGAGACTACAGGTACACTCTACCATGCCTGGTTAATTTTTTGATTTTTTTTTGCAGAGACAAGGTCTTGCTATGCTGCCCAGGCTGGTCTCCAACTCCTGGGCTCAAAGCAATTCTCTTACCTTAGTATCCCAAAGTGCTGGGATTGTAGGCATAAGCTACCATGCCCAGTGAGCTAAGAATTGTCTATGGGTAGCCCTTAAAATAACAGAAACACAGGAAGCGCATGAAAGACCTAAGGTGTCATTTCCTCCGAAGGTGTGGGTTTGTCACTGAAACATGGTGAAAAGCCATTTTTCTACAGAACTACAGTGTTCTGGGAAAACAATACTCAGAAAACACACACAAAATAATCCAATCAGTTGATTTTCTTGCATAGCAAAAACACCTAACGAGTAAGTTGGAGGGTTTAGTAATTCTAGTTTTGAAGTAAGGGTGTAGACCAGGCATGATGGCTCACACCTATAATCTCAGCACTTCGGAAGGTGAATGTGAGAAAAACGCCTAAGCTCAGGGGTTTGAACCAGCCTGGGCAACTTGGTGGGACCTCATCTCTACAATAAATCAAAAAACAAGCAAGCCATGTTAGCACATGCTTGTAGTTCCAGCAACTTGGAAGGCTGCAGTGGCTGTGAGCATGCCATGTGCCTCTGTACTCCAGCCTAGGCAACAGAATGAGACTCTCAAAAAAAAAACCAAACCAAAAAAAAGGGTGCAAGTTGTCGCGCTATTAACAGTCTTGTAATGAAAGTAAATTAACTTCAGGTCCCTTACACCTCCAGATTTATGCCCTATTCAATTTAGAGACAAAATAGTTTTCTAATGTTTCAGTATTTTAGTCTAGCTTATGCTAGAGGATAATGAGCAAAGGGCATACAAAGAACTTGTTATAAGGCACTTTATTAAAATAAAAGTGCTTACATCCCTTTAATGCATTTATCTATTTCTCGAATAACATGGAATATTTAACAAATACTGTACACCAATTCTGTCCCTAATAATAGTAGGAAGAACAGTACTATTGTATTGTTTGCTACTCCCACTTTCCTTTTACATTTTTGCTCACCACGGTATTGCCAATACCATAATTAATTGGTCTTAAAAAGAAGTGGGTGGGGGTGTTTTCTAAAAGCAATTGCAAAATGGTATAGAAACCATAAAAAAAAAAAAATTAAAACGAGAATTCCAGGTAACTTAAATTAACACAGTTTTGAGAAAACCATTTTTATTATCATCACCACCCAGCTTATCTTGCGCTGGATTATGTACCAAATGGTCAGATTTTCTAAAGAACATCTACATAACATTTCTTTCATGTTTCAAGAGATGAAAATAACTGTACAAGGTTAAGTACAAAAGTACACAAGACAGCAGACACAAAAAAATGCTTGTATGAGATTTTATCCCACTTGCAGCTCTTTATATATCTGAAAAGTAGAATTCATGAACTAAAAAATATTGTCCTTCTATAGTTCTGTCAAGTTTAATGGAAATGGGTTTAACCTGATTACAACACTAACACCAGTATCACTGATCTGATATTTACAAAAATTTGTATTTTTCAATAAATTAAAGTCAATGCAACACCCATGCAAGCTAGAATGCTAGCTGTTTGGTGAACAAGGACCTGACATCAGAATAAGAAGTCTATAAAGTCCCAAACTTTCAAGTGTCATCTTTTTCAAACTGCATCCATTCCTCGCATTGAAGATGTGAAACCCAAACCCATTCCTCTTTGTGTGTGGGTCTGTGATCTTGCCATTTCATACTGAGCATCCAAATTTCTAAATACTTCTTCCTGTTGCTTCAGAGTCTTGTAACTTTCTTCATCAACTGAGCTACATCCAGCTTCATCTTCACTCTAAGTAGCAGATATAAAATATTAAGATGAATTCAGATGGGAATAAAAATGGATTCTCTCACTTGACAATGTTATTAAATCACATTTTCAGGATATGTATTTGAGCCCAATTACT